TGAGCTATGGTTTATATATCCAAAATATCTCCCTGTAAGGTATTCAGTTTGATGAGTTTTGGCAATTTTAGAGAGTCATAAAACCACCACCACAATTGAGATATTGAACGTACCAGATACTCCAAAGAATTCCACCCAGGCCCTTTGTGGTTAATTTTCTCCTCTATTCCTGCACAACCATCTATATCATTTGTTTTGTTTTATAGGTCTTTTTTCCCCCCTAGAATGTCATATGAATGGAATCATGTAATTTATACATAGTCTATTGTATTTAAATGTTTTCCACATAGTCTGTTTCATGTATGGATCCAAATTTTGTTTGTTTTCTGATTAACTTACTATGGAATATGTATAGTATACATACAGTTAGTATGTCAGTTTACCAACTGATGAGTAGTTGATTGTTTCCAAGTTTTGGCTACCATGCATAATGCTGCTATGAATATTAATGTGTAGTTCTTTTTTTGGGCATATGTTTTATTTTCTTTTGGATAGCTATGCTTTCTTTTCTCTTGGATAACTATCTAGGTGCATATTTATATTATATTTAGGTAAAATAATTGACAGAAGTTTAAAACTGATTTGATGTAAGAAATTATGACAAGGAAGAAGTCAAATATAGCTCATAATTTTCTGTCTTGAAAGAATGATTTAAGATAGTATGGCATTTTCTGAGATGAAAGAAATTTTTGAAATAGAAAATTATGATTATAGTTTGAAATCTTGAATTACTGTGATGAGATTCTGTGATGCAGCCAAATGGGGTATATTAAATATTGGGTTAAATAAAATCTCTACAGGTAACAAAAGTGTTCTTGGCTAGAAAGTACACATATTGTAATAGTACAGAGACAAATAAAATTCACAATATTGAACAAGATCAGTGGCCAGTAAAGTATGGTCCAAGGGCCAAACTACCTATTTTTGTAAATTAAATGCTGCTTTTTAATTGCTACACCATTGGTATACACATTGTCTATGCTACTTTCACACAACAATTCAGAACTAAGTAATTATGACAAAGACCAGATGACCCACAAAGCCATATTCACTCTCTGGTCCCTTACTGAGAAAAGTTTGCTGAGTCCCCGACATAATTTTCAAGAGAATATAGAGATATAAGAAAATACTGTAAGACAGTGTAGACTAGAGGGATAAGAATATTCTGCATTTAAAAATAAGGCAGAGGACACAGAAATCTAAACAGAAGATCCAGAGAAGTGTTCAGATTGTAAGGAGAAAAAAACAGGGAAGTGTTTTGTTGTAGAGTCCATGGACACAGAGTTTTAAAGAAGGAGAGGTAGACTGAAATCAAGAAATATGAGGTGAATAGAGGGCTGGGATAGGGAGGGTGGGAGGGAAAGAAACGCAAGAGGGAAGAGATATGGGGATATATGTATATGTATAACTGATTCACTTTGTTATAAAGCAGAAACTAACACACCATTGTAAAGCAATTATACTCCAATAAAGATGTCAAAAAAAAAAAAAAAGAAATATGAGGATTGAAAAATAAGTATACGGAAGTCATTGATAAACTTGCAAGGGCAATTGTGGTAAAACAATATAAATCCAATGGCAGTGGGTAGAATTGGGAAATGGGTATTAGAGCAGGGTATTAAATGTATTCAATTTCTTATGGCAGTGGGAAGAAAGATGATTGAGTTGAGGTCTAGAATCTTTTTGCCTGTGACCATTTGCTGCATTTGCTGTTGTCTAAATGGAACAACCCAAGGATAATGATAATTGCCAACCAGTGCACAATGTACCTCAATACCTGATGGAGAATGTGAGGGGGTTATCAATTACCCAAATGTAGGTCTTGGTGGGTGAAGTGATGCTGTAGTGGAGGACACTGAGACTATAGTGAAATAACAAAGTGGAAAACAAGAAGGAAAAGTAGACCCTATAGTGTCATCACTCATTCATAAATGCATGATTGGGATAGGAATGAGGTGCAGAGGGCCTTGACATTTAATACTTATGGTTGGATTTGGGGCAAGTGTCCCCTTTGCCCGGTTTTAATTGGTCATACTACATGAGAATACTTAAAACTTCCCAAACTTTACTTTATAGTGAATATTAAGTAACATCACATTTTACAAGGATAAGAAATATCAGCTTTGAATAAGAAATGTTGAAAGAAAGGGCACTAATCCCCACCAAATTTCAATACATCTGTCTTGAGTGCGCTGTGAAAAATTAAATGGCTAATAAGAGTAACTATTGATTATTGTGGTTAGAATAAATTCATGCATTTTACCCTACACATTATCAGACATGATAAAAGTTAATCAGGAAGTCCCACAGTCTAAAGGAATTGGTATTCTCACACAAACTTGGTGAATGCTTCCTATTTTATTCTAACTTTGAAAGGAAATGAAGTAAAATCCACTTTTTTATACTACTGTACATCACCATCCTCCCATTCACGCAGGGTATCTGAATTTGCAAGCATATTGAATCCAGAAACCAAATTTCAATTTCATCACTATTAAAATAAAAGTGATTCATTACAGAAATAACAGGATGATGTATTTCTTTCTTTTTTTTATTATTGGAGTAAAACTGCTTTACAATGTTGTGTTAGTTTCTGCTATACAATAAAGTGAATCGGCTATATGTATACCTATATCCCCTCCTTCTTGGACCTTGCTCCCACACCCCCATCCAACCCATCTAGGTCATCACAGAGCACCGAGCTGAGTTCCCTGTGCTATACAGCAGGTTCCCACTAGCTATCTACTTTATACATGGTAGTGTGTTTATGTCAAACCTAATCTCCCAATTCATCCCATCCTCCCCTTCCCGCCCTGTGTCCACATGTCTGTTCTTCTCAGAGAAACAAGTCAAAGAAGAATTTAAAACTGTGAAACTATATACATATTACTAGCTGAGGATGGTTTATTAATATGGCATATTAGAGGATCCAGTACGATGAATAAATTTAGGGAATAACTGGATCTGAGACTTTAGATACTTAATGGTAAGATACTTACTACTGAGATATTTACCATCACTTAATGATGAGATACTTAATGGTGAGAAACTGGATAATTCCCTAACATTTTCAACAAATGGTTCTGGAACAATATGTTCCATTGCCAACTCATAGTGTTACATCTGGATCAACAAAACTGACAAAGTACAATAGTCCATAAGAGGCTTGAACACAAGACCTCCTGGGTCTTCTAGAAAAGACCTTATTGGCCTATAGGACATCTTTTCCTGGTTTGGTAACGATTGAGGCTCTTGGCTATGTTCACTGCTCTAGGCAGCCTGTCATCCTGTTTGGAATAATTTCTACTATAATCTTGGTTTGCTGTTGCCTCAGACAGATTAACCATTTATTCTCACAGCCTCTTAATGTTGCAGTCATTTGAGTACATGATGGGTAGCCTATGTTACTCACTCAGGTCCTAAAGGATCAAGAGTTAGAGTTCCTCAACTCTTCAGTTCTGGTTCTAGCTTCACATCCTAGGTCTTTCAGATGTGACCATAGGCAATTATAATATTTTGCCTGATGGTCTTCACAAGGCCAAGGGAGGAATATAATTTGCCCTTCCCACACCAGTATATTGAAGTTTCTAGGAGGAGTTGCAGTCAAGAACTCACAACCTTCAGGCCAGCCATTCTCATACACATATCAGAATTCCTAGAGTAAGAATCCCATTCAGAGAACACTTTATACAGTGTCTTGTCTAAGGCACTTTATCCACTCTGACTCAGTAATTTTTCAATAATGACATTACAAGAAAAAAAAAAAAAACCTCAGAACAATAGTTGTCAGGAACATAGACAAAAATTTAAAAAAAAATTCTAACAAGGTATTAAAAAATGGAATGCAACAATCCACACACTTGTGTAGATAGAGAGAGAGAGGGAGTATATAAATGTAGGTTAGTACATATACATATATTCCTATGCCCTGTTGGCTGAGAAAACCTAGAAGCATTGACACCCCAGGATCAATGAGCACACTTAGCAGAAGATACCAGTCTCTAGTACCATTTGCCAATAAAAGAAATCAGTCAGTGTCCTTGGAGAAATGGCTGATTCTAGGACTGGGGCAGAAAATAAATGAGTTTGGAGCATCTTTCATTGCCAAAGTAAGGAAGTACTTATAAGCGAAAAAGAAACAATGATGGAAGTATGTCAAAAGGACAGAGAAGCCAACCAAAAGAGTTCCAAATAATTAAAACCAGAAATTTTGAGCCACAAAATAAAATAGTATTGCATTATAAACTTTAATATAGAATATATATACCCAGGTGTCCTAAGTGTTATAAATAAATGATTCAATAAATAAATGGTGCACAATAAAAAATTTCCCATTCAGAAAATTTCCAAATAATTTGTGTAGGTTCTTCACTCTCAAGGAGGTGAAGCAAAACTCCTTAAGTATAGACTGTGAAAATGACTTTATTCCAAAGAGTATAGTATGAAAAGTATGGAGGGGGGCAAAAAGATTAATTTAACAGTGGAGAAACCTGACAAACTCTGCGTTAACATCAGTGGTAGTAAGCCATGTTTATGATACATACCTTTGATATAATGTGATAAACAATGATGATTTACTTCTGTGGTTTTCCTCTGTCAAACCCAAAACTGCAGTCTATAATGAGAGAAACATCAACAAATCCCAACTGAGGACCACTCCACAAAATACCTAACCAGCTTTCTCGAAAACTGTTAATGTCAAGGAAAACAGTGAAAGTCTTTGTCACCATTATAACTGAGAGGATCTTAGGGAGACAGGACTACAAATTCAATATGGTACTTGGATGGGATCTTGGAATTGAAAATGGTAATTAAGTAAAAACTAAGTCAATCTGAATAAATAATGAATTTTAGTTAATAATAATATATCAATATTAGTTAATTAATAGTAACACATGGACTATTCTAATGTAAGACATTAATAGGAGAATCTGGGTGTAGAGTATATGGAAATGCTTTGTACTATTTCACATTGCCTTTTTGTAATTCTATTCTAAATCTATTTCTTCTTCCTGGAAATATGTACAATGGAAGCTATGCTAAGGCTATCTCTGTGGGTTTTCATTATCACTATCAGGGATGCAAAATCTAGGTTAACAGATGGTACATTGGGGTGGAGGTAGGAAGAAATGTGATTGATTGAAAGGAAGTTTACAGATGGATAAGGAAACCAGAAAAGGAAATTATCACTCCATATCTAACTTAGCTTCCCAAAGCAAGATAATGATTTTCTTGGCCACTTCTGTTTGATGTAGTGCTGACTTATATTCAAAGTTGGAAGAAGCCCAAGATGTCTTTTCCATTGAAAAGGAGAATGTAACTGAAGCCAAATTCTAAGATTTACCCCAAAACAACTTGAATCATTTGAAGAAAAGACATCATCCAGTATTTCTTGTTGAATATCCTGATTAACAGCAGTTGAATTTATCACATCTGCAGTATTTCCTTGGTTGTGTTATCATATAGTTTCTTTTATAATCTTAAAAGAAATACTACCTTAGAACTAGACTGTATGCTTTATGACTGGCAGAGAGCAGCTGGTGCACCATGTGGCCGTGAACCAGGATGGCATTTTTTTTAGACAACTGTATGGATACAAAGCAAAGGGATTTTTACTGCCTGCTCCTATATCAGATTCTGCTTTGTTCTTAGACCACATATGAGTATGGAGCGATCATTATAAAAGTGGCTATTGAAACAGCATAACGTCCGAAATGATGAATGTTGGCAATGTAACAGCTAAAGATCAGTGATAATTTGTTTCTGAAACTTCAGAAAAGATATTTATGCAAAGTCATTTTTTGCATATTGATTGAAATGCACCTTGAAACACATCTCTGAACATGATCAGCTAACAATTGCCCAGATGACATATTTGTTGAGGGTGCATATAATTTACTTGAATTTCACCATTACCACAAGTGCTCAGCACTTTGATGACTCAGCCATCACTTGCCCCAATGTAGTAAGATGTTCTTAAGGCTTTGGAAACTGGATTTGGTATGGACTGGACATGGAAAGGATTTTTCTGGAGGCTCACCTTGGGTATGATAAGACTTGTTAACTTAGACAGGAACACAAGAGGGAGCTATTTTCAAGGAAACTGGCCATGTTCAAACAGTGTACCTGAAGAGGAAGAAAAAGTTTGATCAAATTAAAAGACAGTTATCAGGTGAGCTGGTGTCTCAGGCTATATGAACAGCTTAAAATGGGTAAGTCATCACTGATAAATGTGGGTAAACATTCAACCATAATCATCATGACCACATGTTGAACTGCTAAATTAGGGCAATGGGAATTTGTGCCTCAGAGTCTCAAAAGTTAAGTTACGCTGTTGCTTTGCATGCTACACTGTTGCCTGTCTTGAATTCTTTCTTAGTTTTTAAAACTAAGCCACCTTAAAACAGGGTGATGCCTGTTTTGTGTTGTGAGATAGATTGTAAATCTGAACCCAAACCACTGCAGCAGGTTGAACAGGGTGGAGACTATTGCTCCATTAATAGAAATATATCCATGGTCATTGGATCCAGTAATATCATACCAAACATGATCACTTAGACCTTAATTCATATTGAAGTCTTCCTTTTTTATTTCAGCAAAACCTTTTGAGAATAGTAATACGTATGCTAAAATGTGTATAGATCATAAACGTATACATGAATTACACGAATGAATTTCATGAATTAAACTTTCTGTGCAGCCAGCACCCAAATCAAGAAATGTCTTCTTTTTAGCATTCCAAAAGCCCACTTTGGGCTTTCTTTCTGGTCATTATCTCTCTCCAAGACAGGCTTTCTTCTGACTGTCATAAATTATTACGTTTTACCATTGTTCAAACTTTATAAAACTGGAAGTCAGAAGCAAAACCTTTTGAGATTGTTTTCTTTTGATTAAGGTTGTTTCCAACACTTTAAATCATGCTACTGTGTGGAGCAACGATTTGCTAATGTTCATGGCTACATAATATGCACCATAGGAACACACCTTGATGTACCTATACATTTGGAGTGACACATAACTTCTCATCACAGGTGTTCTCAGGAAAGATGATTATTGGTTTTTTTTTAATCCCATATTAAAAAAAAATAGAGAAAAACAATTTTAATCTTGAAGTATTTCTCTGAAAAGTTGATTTTAATTCTTGCAGCTCTCCCTTTTATTTAGAGTGTTCTTCCCACAAAAGCCTAACTTTTAGGTCTCAGTTTCAATTGCCCCTCCCCCTTTAGAGTGGCTCAAAACCAGATTTCCCAATCCTTTGATATACAATCGTTGTTAACATGTATCGCCTTCCTAGGATGGACATCTGAGCTCAGTGGTGAAGCCTGATGCCAGATTTTGCTCTCCTGTTTGCTGCTCTCAGTTATTTTTGTTGTTGTTGTTATTTTCCCTTTGGGGAATTCCTCTTGCTTTCTGTGAGCTTGCAAAACATTTAAAAATAAAGGTAATGATACTTTATATAACATATACTTAGTTTGCAGTGTGAAGTCTTTTCAGACTATCTAGCCAACCAAACTGTCAGAAAAATAAATTCCTTGAAGCTTTTTAGGGTTAAACTTTCACTTCTACAAACATAGAAGTTGTATGGAGAAATGTGTGATAAGTTTTATTTCAGGCATAAGATGTTGTAAATAAGTAATTTGAACACATATATACACCGATGAGTTATCATTTTAATATTTGTTATTATAACATGATTACTGTCATATTATTCTAACAACCTTACGTTGGTTTAAAAAAACTGATTCAATCTGCTGTCATAATCTCTGTACATATTTTCTATGTAGATATCAATATACTTTTTCTTGCTCTGGAAATATTATGAAAATCCTATGAGGTCTTGCTGCCTATGATGCGTAATATGCAAGTAAATTATTTTATTCCCATTTCAAACTGAAGGTATTGATAAGAAACACATACAAAATCCAGTAAAATGAAAAACGTTAAATATCTTTGTAAGTAAAACATTCCTGTGTTGCTTATATATGAAAAGATAAGATTTCATAAAATTATATGTTTTCTTTTTAATTGAAGAGATTTTCATCACTCTAGATATAAAACTGTAGCTTAAAATGACCCAAATTATGCACGTTAAATAAAAATACACTGCCTTCAAATCTTGTGCTTCTATTTCTTCAATATTGCTAGATGGTCCATTTTGATAAAAACCCTGTTACCAGATCATTAACTCCATTTCAGAATGACATTTCATAGACTAATCAATACTAGATGAATGTGTCACAGCTACTCTATTAATAATCATATGACTAGAATTGCTGGTGACAGAAATAATAGGCTAACTACCACTTGTTGACCTCTCGGGTAAACAATAAAGAAAATAGTGCTATTTCTATAAAATTTTCATTTGTCTTCCAGTTTAATAAAATACCAAATTCTAAAAGGATTTGCAGAAATGATTCAGGAATATGTACATTCTTTGTATTTTCTACCATGCTGAGCTTATTTGAATGAGAATATATTCAAATATATATATATATATAGTACATACATACTATAGATACATCAGGAATTCCAATTATATAATAAAAATTTCCTTGAATTCTTCAAAATAAATTATTTATAACACTTTATGGATATGAAAAGCTGAAAAAAATATCTTGCTGAAGCTAGAATAATTCTAGAAAGAAATATTTTATTGAATACTTTGTTTAGCAAGTGTATACTCAATGATATTTTTTTAATATGAAGACTAAAATTTATTAATAGGAGGTTTCTATTTTGAAAAGCTGAAACTTTGTTAATTCTAATTAATATAAATGGCAAATGTTCACCATAGTATTATTCTTAATATAAGAGAGATGATCACTTTGAAACATATCGAAACTTTTGGGGGACAAAGATTTGGAGGAAGCAAATAATTAGAATAGTGTATGTGTGGTTGTTACCAAGACTGTTGCCCCAGAATCATACCCCTGCCCCTCCCTGGAATGGAAACCAATTGCTCTTATCTAAGTTTCAGGAGGAAGCTGCTGTCAATGAAAAAGATGTTGCCTTCCATATCGGTAAACAAAGGATGTTGAAGCCATCAAGCTGTCACATTACAGCCGCCCCCCATGGTGAGCCCTGAAGGAACTAAGAATAGAAAGTGTGCCTGCCATGAAGGAATCAGTCGCTGCAGCCTCCCCTGCAGGTGCACCCTGAGAAGACTCAGGATGAGAAAGCACAGGATACTGGCCCCAGGTATCTGAGGTGCATATCAAAGGTATGATTATAGTGAGCCTAGACTCTTGCATCTTCCCATACATAGAAAAGTGCTAAATTCTTTAACCTGAGATGTCTGGTTTTCTTTAACAGTAATCTTTCGATGTTTTGACTACCTGGTCTTTGTTGCAAAAACTCCTTGTATCCTGGCTCCTCCCTGACCCCTTCAGAGCAGTCTCTCAGAGCTCTCTGAGATGCTGTGTCCTGGACTTAAGTCCTCAGTTTTGTCTGCCGAATAAAACATAACTCTCAGCTTTTAGGCATGTGCTTTTTTTCAGTCGACACTGCAAAGAGAAAAACAAGAACTGGTTAGAACCAACCAAGCCAAAGATGGCGAAAGATTTGACTTCCAGTAGACCTTGAGCTTCATTATACACTCATTGTAATACAGTAGCTAAATGACACAGGCACCAGAACAATGACAGTTGACAATTGCCATGACAACAACCAGAAAAGCCCACACAAGGGCTTAAAGGAGTGCTGCATCAGTTCTGGGTCCAAACCACACCCCTGTTGTTGAATAACTCATGAATATTCCTCCCACTCTCTAATTCCCTCCCTTTTACCTTGACCCTCCTATATATGTGGTGTCTCTGCCCCTATTGGGTTGAGAAGGTGATTTGCAAACTAAGTTCCTGCTTCTCTCTGATCATTGAGTAAAGCTTGTGAGTTCCAGTCGCAGCATCAGTTTCATTATTGATTGTGAAAATCTGAGCAGAAAAAGAAACTCCCTAGCTGAAACAAAGAGTTTCGAACCTGGGCTAGGACCCTGGCATGGGTCCAGGTAACCAAT